GGTTGTCACATGACTTCCTCTTACTTTGCTGCTTCCATCCAAGTCACAGGTCAGAGTATTTTGCTCTCACTGTTTTTCTATTATCAGTGCATCTTTATCCTGTCTTGTGTCTTTAAATGATTCTTATTTACCTCCTTTAACCTGCTGTGTCCCCTTTAACTATACCCTACTTCTGTCACCTTACTCCCTCAGTTTCTTCAACTTTAACCACTTATTGATATTGTCCTCTACCCTGGGACTGCACACTACAGCCTGCCTCTTTACTGTTTGTCCCTCGCGATCGCTGCGTTTTACCGCGATCGCTCGGGACCAAGAGGCTCTCTTAAGGGTTCCAGGGGCTGGGGGGGTAGGTGGGGGACACAGGGGGTGCCGGCCAGGACCACTGGGCCGCGATCGCGGACCGCGATCACGGACCGTGCGGCAAAATTTACCCGCGAACGGTGGCCATCTTGGATCTTGCTAGACCGCGAGATCCTCGGCGGCCATCTTAGTTTGCCAGTTCGTGATTCCCATGAACTGGCATAGGATACTCCAGTTATTTTCTTTCCCCTTAACCCCCCTTAGGGGAGCCTCTGTGGACATAGCATTGGGCATCAGATGAGCTACTAAAACAGACTAAAGGGATTCTTACCTGTACAGTACTCTGCTAAGAAGTTCCCACTGATTGGCAGGACAACTCTCATCCTGCTCAGGCTGCAATACCCAATGGCAAGCTCTCACTGAGGGTACTGGTGATTGAACCACATGGGTGCACACAGTGAAGACCCATTCTCACAAGAGGACAAATAAATAAAAAAAAGAAGAAAAAAAAAAACCAATATACATAAGAAGTCTGACATTAGCACTTGTGACAAATCGTACACAGGGGTGTCCCCACGCCCAAGCAGGGGCTAATAACGAAGTACGCTTTATTGTATGCGGCAACTGGGGTGATCCACGCAATTCATTGCATATTGGTGAAAGACCGCACAGTGGCGAAATTTCCACACAAGGGTGACACCTTAAAAATAAGCGCACTGAGGTCTTTGGCACCTCCCATCACCGGGCTTACGTCCCGACCTATACCGGGCTTCGTCCCGACCAGAACCGGGCCTTGTCCCGACCAGTACCAGGCCTCGTCCCGACCAGTACCGGGCCTCGACCCGACCATTACCAGGCCTCGTCCCAACCTTTAATGACCGTGCACCCCGGTCAATAGGAGGATGACCCCCTCTACAGACCACTATTCAAACTCATAGTGGTACTGATCATATGGTACCTGGGTGACCCCCAGTTGTACGTGGAAGCCACTGTATAACTACATACGCACTGACATATACTCTATCTCCCCACAGACGGGAAGAACTATCTGCCACTATGTCAGACGCTCCTCCATCACCATCTATGGATTTCCAGGCCATGATTAATGCCGCAGTGTCGGCGTCTGTGGAAAAAGTTTTGGCCAAAATGATAACACAAACACAGTCGGAGGTGGCGGACACCACGCTGGGGCATCCAAACGCCAATGGCAGGGATCCAACACGACCCTCCAAGGATGTGAGGGGAAGGCATTGCGGAAGCGGAGGCGCCAGTCAAGGCGCCGGGACCGCTCTCCTCCACAACACGCTTCCTCAGGGGATGAGGAACAACTATCTCCACCTTCACTGGAAATCATGGACGAATGGAGGGCAGAGGACTCTCCCTCGGAGGAGGAGGACTGGCATGACATGCCTCAGGAGGTCGGAGAATTCGACCAAGGTCCCGAACGGGCAGGCCGCTCAGGCAGCAAAAGCACACGTAGATTGAATACGGACGTATACGACGATGGGGTGTTTCTGGACGGGACAGGCAACCCCATGTTCGATCCACGCCAGATACGACACCCCAGATCATCAGAATGGAGCCTGCCGGACCATCTAACTCAATTTATACAGTTTTGGCTGAGGAAGCCGATGGACAAGGAGGTTCGGGCCAAGCTTAAAGCAGAGTGCCCACGTCCCGTGCTTCCGGACAAGATAGCCATCACCCCAGAGTTTGATACCACAGTGGGGGTATTTATGTCTCGCGCGGGCAGATACCCAAGGAAAGGTGTTGAGAAGGGTATGAAATCGGTCCAGGACAAAATGTTGGACATGCTAGGCCCTCTAGCAAGGATACTATACTTCGCAGATTTGGCACTTATGCAGGAGACGACCCTCAAGGCACACGACATTAGAGAATGGGCACAGCGAGCGATCTGCCTGTTAGGGAACTCTAACGCGGCCATGTGCGGCCCCAGTCGTCCATACACTACACAGCAGTTCTTCCCATCCGCAAGAGCCAACTTCGCAAGGGGATCCTTGCGCACAAGGGGCACTCGGAGCAGAGGACGGGGACGATTCAACTGAGCATGAACTGTCTTCCGTTATGTCATTCAAATATAACTGCTGGCAGACTGTCCAACTGGATATTGGATCTTACGGATCAAGTTCAGTTCGATATGTGTTAATCCGTTTGGAGTTGGATTTAATTGAAGTTGGGACTTCCATGGAACAAGTTTGAAATGTTATATCGCTACGGACTTAGGTTTTATCTCCTGACTTTATGTGGACTGATCGCAATTCAAAGAAAGAGGAAGTCATGTGACAACCAGAGCTTTATATATAGTTATGTGCTCTATTTTGATTGGTTAAAAGTTTAATGATTGACTTGTGCTGCTGGAGGCATGAGTAAAGAAAGTTATGCAAACTACTCGCCTCCTGCCATTATTAAAATTAAGATTATAGATACACTACGTTAGCATAATCTACAATTGTGATGGAATTTCAGTGAAATGTAAATTTAGTAGGCCGAGATTTCCACGTGACATATGTTTATGTTGTATCAGTTAGTTAGTTACACGTAGCTAAAATACTGTCATCAATGTACTGAGCATGTGCAGGAATGCAGGAACTGAAATTACATTCCTTTCTCCTTTGTTTCGGATGAGCCATGTGGTCTCCCCATATAAGGAAATCCAAATCTTGTCCACCGATTGGTTAAGGTATGTGTGGGTGGAGCTATTAATGGGAGGCGTTATAGTTCTATAAAAAGCATGTACTCCATGTGTTCGGCCCTCACACCTGTTTTGGAACGTTAGTTCATCTGAGACCCGAACGGTATGTTAATAAAGACCTCTTACTTCCTGAAAACCTGCATCCATCTCTCTGTGTCTGGCTTCTGCAAGTTTACTCGGTTACAAAATAGAAGCGTCTAATAGTGTGCTTACAGTGCAGTGGTAAACATTTTTATTTTCTGGGTGCAAACCTGCAAAATAGTACATTTTGGGTGTGCTCTTCATATCTGAGAGTCAAATAGAAGCGTCAAATAGTGTGGTTACAGTGCAGTTGTAAACATTCTAATTGTTTTGCTGCTAAACTGCTAAATAGTACATTTTGGGCGTGCTTTTCATATCTGAGAGTGAAATAGAAGCGTCAAATAGTGCGCTTACAGCGCAGTTGTAAAAATTCTAATTGTTTTGCTGCTAAACTGCTAAATAGTACATTTTGGGCATGCTCTTCATATCTGAGAGTCAAATAGAAGACTCAGATAGTGTGGTTAGAGCGCAGTTGTAAACATTCTAATTGTTTTGCTGCTAAACTGCTAAATAGTACATTTTGGGCATGCTCTTCATATCTGAGAGTGAAATAGAAGCGTCAAATAGTGCGCTTACAGCGCAGTTGTAAAAATTCTAATCGTTTTGCTGCTAAACTGCTAAATAGTACATTTTGGGCGTGCTCTTCATATCTGAGAGTCAAATAGAAGACTCAAATAGTGTGGTTAGAGCGCAGTTGAAAAAATTCTAAATGTTTTGCTGCTAAACTGCTAAATAGTACATTTTGGGTGTGCTCTTCATATCTGAGAGTCAAATAGAACCGTCAAATAGTGCTGTGACATAGCATTTTTAAACCTTCAATTTTTTGGGCTGCTAAATAGTACATTTGCGGCCTGCAGTGCACTTCATATCTGAGAGTCAAATAGAACCGTCAAATACCAATATAACAATATTATAATTCGGGGGCAATACCCTCACAAGTCAAACTGAGAGGTCAGTTTGTAGGGAAAACTGTTGCCTGGATACAATTCTAAAACAATTTCCATATGTCCTTAGCAGACTTTACATGCTGGAAAAACATAGGTGCCAACTGCTGTGGCTTTCTGCAGTGTGCATACTGGCAAGGAGGGCAGGGTTGAGGAGTGGGTGGAAGATGATGTGGAGGATGATGCGGTCCTAGACCCCACATGGAATCAAGGTGATGCGAGTGATGTGTGCAGTTTGGAGGAAGAGGCACTGGTCGCACAAGAGGCACCAGGACAGCATAAGAGGGAGCAGAGTGCAAAAGCGCAGCGGCCGTCCCCTAGCACTCATCGGCATGTATTATCTTTAAAATTCCCACAGTTATCCAAGTAACAGATGGAGCGTAACAGATTTAACGAGCCATTTGCAGTTTCGCAGTCCGGTGACCGGGACCCAGACACTGTCTGGACGGCAGTTGGACAACCGGAACCCAGTATGCCTAATGTTGAAGTTAGGAGTCACAGTGTGGAATGGATTAGCAGGGTCTGGTGCAGGGTAACCACACGCCCCCTGGTGTTGAGCACCAGCGTTTGTGTGGCCACATACAAGGACCCTGATGCAGCTTCAGTAAAAAGAGTACTGGATACCAGAAGCCATCACCAGACTGATTAGCAACTTGGAAAAGGATGTGACATTCACTGTAGTGGCTGTGTGCGCTTTCGGCGTTCTCAGTCTGCTGCTGCTCGCCTGACTGCGCTGCAGCGTAACTTTGGCCTTCCTGCTCAGCGCCTCATATGGGACGTGCCCACAATGTGGAACTCCACCTTGCACATGCTGGAGAGACTGTGTGAGCAGCAGCAGGCGATAGTGGAGTTTCAGCTGCAGCACGCACGGGACAGTCGCTCTGCACCAGACTTGCCCTCCAATTGATCAGAGTTAAAGGATTTCAAGAGTCCTGTATTGCTAAAGAGTCCTGTATTATTTGTCGTCACTACCTTCCGCGTCGGGAGTGGGTCATTTGCGTGCCTGCTGCCTTCCTTGAATGTGGTAGCTGTTTCTCAGGCTCCCTCTCAGGAATCAAACCCTGATTCCCTGTTACCCATGGTCACCATGGTAGGCGCAGTAAATGGCATCGAAAGTTGATATGGATGACAAACTAATGTGTCGTCGCCTTGTCATTGGGGAGCCCATTGAAAACTTGCTCTAGCATGAGGAACTGGGTGATCTCCTCCGGAAACTTGGATTGATTGGAGTTGAGCCAGTTCTGGGTGGCCCTTGTCATGCGGCATGCCCACTCCGGAAGTCCCTCTCCCCTTTCCGGGTCTCCCTAAACTTTCGGCGGTATTGCTCGGGGGTGACCGGATACCGGGCCAGGAGGATTTGGGTAATAAAGGGATCTTCTGGTACAGCCCGGTAAATATCCGCTGCCTTCCCCACTAGTTTGCTGGCCAGGATGGTGGCCCAGTAGCTGGGGTCCACGTCTTGGAGTAAGCACTGGCGCTCAAAGTCTTGTAAAAAGTCATTGATGCCTTCTTCTGCATCCTTGAAGTCTTTGAAGGCATTGTATGTATGTAGGGTGGTTGTGCTTCCCGGCGCCCTCTGCTCCCTTCTTCCTTCATCTGAGTTCATGGAGGTCGCCCTCTGTCTATTGGCAAGGACATAGGCTTGCACCTCCAAAAAGGTCCTGCTGACAATCTCCTCTGAGGGTGGCTCTCGGTAATATGCCAGGCGCCGTTACACCTTCTAGCGCACTTCCTCCTCATCTCCTGCTGTTGCTCGCCTGTTTGGCCTTCCTGCTCACTGCCTCATGAGACTGTGCAAGCAGAAGCAGGCAATAGTGGAGTTTCAGCTGCAGCATGCACGGGTCAGTCGCTCTGTGGAACAGAGTTGTCTTTTTTTACATGTCCCAGTATTTTGTGGGCTACCCCAATTAAAAAAAAAATAAAAAAAAAATATATATATATATATATATATAAAACAGTGTTGGCTACCTCCTCCTCCTCCACTGCCGCTTCCACCTTCACCGCCATGGTCACCGCCTCCTCAACCTAAGGGTCACTTAGTATAAACCATGTACACAACAGCAGAGCCTTGTGAAGGCCTTTTCTCCATGCATTAGGAGTTGAGCTCAGTTTGAACAATGAAAGAGAATACCCTGCACTCCAACCCTCTCTAAAGTGGATAATTCTAGTGATCCTCCTGACAGCCATGCTTTCTTCCAAAGCTAAAATCAAAAATTCCATCTAGTGCTACTTTATGGCTCAGCTGTATTTTAAATTTTTATGTTATTTTAAGTGATTTCCCTATCCACATTTGTTTGCAGGGCACTTGTCCTACACTTACCCCCATTTTACTTCCTTTTGCAGCCCTCTAGCCCTTTCCAGGACTTTTTTAGAGGCATTTTTGTAGCCAAAAGTTCGGGTCCCCATTGACTTCAATGGGGTTCGGGTTTGGGGTCAAGTTTGACTTTTTTTCAAAGTTCGGCTGAACCTGCCGGAGCCGAACATCCAGGTGTCCGCTCAACTCTATTCATAAAGCGTATATATTAAACTGTTAATAGATCCCATCTGATTCATCTCTTGCAACTGTCATTACTTCTCTAATACTACCCTTACCTTTTGTGCCACTATACCCCACTCCCTCTAGCATGTAAGCTCATTGAGCAGGGCCCTTAACCCCCTGTTCCTGTGCATCCAACTTGTCTGGTTACAATTACATCTTTGTTTGTTAGTCCACCCATTGTACAACGCTGCAGAATTTGTTGGCGCTATATAATTAATAATTTATTATCTGTAAAATGTTATTCCTGGTCCTTTCATTGAATACAGTGCTACACTGTTTATACCAACTCAGAATCTTACATCACTGGAATTTGACTTCACTGAACATTATTACTGGTATCTTACATCACTAGTATGATACATCTTTGATATCTTACATCACTTATATCTTACATTACTAATTTCACACATTACTAATATCTGGCGGGTCTGCGCTGCCTGGAGGTTGGTACGTATGTTCTGAGTCATCAAGCAGTCATGGAACTCTAGCACATAAGGTATGATAGGGGTCCCATCCTGATCTAAGGCTCACTCCCAGTGTTCCCGGATTAAGTCTAGGGATCCTCGTACTCTCCTTCCGAACAGCAGTTCGAAGGGTGAGAATCCTGTAGATTCCTGTCGTACCTCTCGGCAGGGCTGGATTAACTTAGGGGCTGATGGAGCTGCAGGTCCATTTAAAAAAAAAAATGTATTTCCAAATTTATTTATTTTTTACACACTACTCTTAAATTTGCCACCTGACTGGTGTTTTACTGGCACAGCCGGTATTTGAGGATGCCTGGCCGTGCCGGTATTGCAGTAATACCGCAATACAAATGCAGATATTTTTCTCCGTATAAACGGAGATTACTCTGCAATACCAGCACCGGCCAGTAGGAGTTGCTGTATGTGGAGAGAGGCAGGGATAGGAAGTTACAGCATATCCCTCCCTGCCTCTCTCTACTCACTGATCTGCGGGGGAGCAGCTACACAAGCACAGAGAGTCCAGACAGCAGCTCTACAGCTCAGGTTAGTGAGGGATGGGGGAAAGGCAGCAGAAAGACATGGGGACACTGAGACACTAGGGGACACATGGGGACACTGAGACACTAGGGGACACAGACACTAGGGGATACCACGAGACATGGGGACACTAGGGGACAGTGAAAGAGATGGGGACACTGAGACACATGGGGACACTGTGAGACATAGGGACAATGAGAGACACTGAGACATTGGGACACGGAGAAACTGGGGACACGGTGTCCCCATGTCTCCCAGTGTCCCCATGTGCCCCAGCCAGTGTCCCTAGTGTCTCAGTGTCCCCATGTCTCTGTTTCCCCTAGTCTCCCAGTGTCTGTGTCCCCATGTCTCCCAGTGTCCCCAACTGTCCCCAAGTGTCTCAGTGTCCACGGGTCTCTCAGTGTACCCATGTATCACTGTGTCCCCTTTATCCTAGTGACATGGGGACACACTGAGACATGGGGACACTGTAGAAATGGGAACACTGAGACACTGGGAGACTAGGGGACTGGGCGACATGGGGACACTGACACTGTGATACATAGGGACACTGAGAGACTGGGTGACTTGCGAAACTGAGACACTGGGAGACAGGGAGACACTGGGAGCAATCCATCTATACAGCAGAATCAAACTGTAAGTAGTTTGTTGGTGATTTTACAGAATTTTCTCTTATGTCACTCCTTGTGATTTACATCATGTGATGTCACGCATAACTAATTAATTATACAAATGTTTAAGGCTGATATTTTTTCCAAGAAAGGTGGCAAACCTAATTACTCTTCACATACTCTTGCTTAAAGAAGACTATAGGGTCAGGAACACAATCATGTATTTCTGACCCTATTATGTTAAAACCACCATCTAGCCCCCCTGGCCCCCTCTTGCTTCCCTAAATATAGTAAAATCTTACTTGTATTCAAGTCTGCAGCTGCAGGCTCTGCCTCTGTTGACATCATCAGAAGTGGTGGTCTGAGCAAATGACAATGCTTCCCCATAGGATTGGCTGAGACTGTCAACTAGGCAGATCAGGGGCAGAGCCAGCACAAGTCAAACAGAACCCTGGCCAATCAGCATCTCCATATAAAGATACATTGATTTAATGCATCTCTATGAGGAAAGTTCAGTGTCTGCATGCAGAGGGTGGAGACACTGAATCTAGCAGCCATCTAAGTAGTAGCCATCAGAGTTATGTTCTCTGAAAAGACAGTGTTTACTGCAAAAAGCCTGAATGGAATGATTCTACTTACCAGAATAAATACAATAAGCTGTAGTTGTTCTGGTGACTTTAGTGTCCCTTTAAGTTTGGAAGCTTAAGAGGGATGCATGGGAACAAAACTTGTGTGGACTGGCTGACAATAAAAGTTTAGATAATGCAGACTTTGGTCTCTCTAACATTGTGGCATGTCCCCTTTCTTCTACACTCACTACATACACGTTTTCTCTGTCCCAGACTACATACCAGGAACTTCTGCCTGCTAGTAAGAAGAAAAAGGAGACAAGTGGACATGTGAGAGCTAGGGAACAGTCCTTAGAAAATGTGGAGTAGGTGCATCATTTGATGCATTTTTGTCAAGGTACTACCTGCATAGTATGCCCTTAGTTGGACGGCCTGCATGATTGCCAGGCTGGCCTTCCAATTCTTTGGACAAACATGCCCCCTTTTTGGGCATGTTCACCCCTTTTGGCAGGTCTGATCACGTGGACACTGCTGTTAGACGATATGGATTTACTTGAAAGATGAAAGCATAAATTAGAGAGAGATATGCATAGAGTATGTGTTTTCGTATAGCTGCATCCTTTGAGTTTCCCTCCAACACCATCTCCATCAGATACACGATGCTTGGGAGGTATGATTGTTTTAGTGTTTTTGGTCGATAAGATTCTGTAAATAGGCCCATCATAATTGACAGGCCGACTGGGCTCTTAATCTGGCCCTGCCTCTCAGTAAGCCTATAGGAGGTGCGGCAGGAATCTCTCCTAGTCCCTACTCGTGGCAGTGGTCCAGTCAGTATAGGAGAGAACACACTGAGCAAAGAACACACAATTGGAATCACTAAGGAGACCACAAGAGGGACAATGTGAGCCAGAGCTCAGTGAAGACTTTTTTAGGTCTGGCATCAGTGGCACCCAGAATGTATGTATGCATGGATGCCAGAATGACAAAAATTGATGAAAGGATGCATGGAAACAGCGTTCAGTGCCGGAATCAACGCTAAATCGATGCAGGTCTGGACGCAGTCTTTGCTTGGTGTCAAAATTGACACAAACAGGAAGCAAAGGATGAAAGTAGGAACAACGAGCCATGGGTAACCTCACAACTGGAAGACCATTTCCTACAGGTAGGGTTTGTAGGGTAAGATGGACATTGAAAGGTGACGTTTTCATTTCTGTTTTTTTTTTTTATTTATTCCAATTATGTAAATGTAACATCTTCATAACAAAATAAAAGATGTATGGGGTCCATTTTTTCCCAGAAAGTGCATTAAAGTTGGAAATTCTTCTTCTAGTGGAGGTGATAGAGAGAGTTTAATAAAATGTTCTACAGACACTATTCTGAATGGGGCAGGAAAGGAAATAAGGTATCCATTTGAAAATGTTTGGTTTATAGACTAGATTAAGACTAAATTAGTCAACTGGCTTTATCTTACAGAGGAACAAAGTGATGTTTCTGCGTTAACAAAGCCTCGAGTTAGAATTCTGTCTAGGGATAGTAAGAGGAGCACAGATAATCTGCAT